CACACACGCACACACACACACACACACACACACACACACACACACACACACAAACACACACACACAAAACACAACACAAACACACACACACACACACTACATACACAGAGACATATACACACACATACATACATATGCCATTCTTGTCAGTAGTGGTTTGCGCGTTGCAAATTGAAATGAGGAAGAACCGGCTCTTCTCTTCTTTCAGTATTTCTCACTTTTTTTATCATCGTTTGTCACCTGTCTCCTTTCTTCAAGTTACGCTTGATATGCATTGATATGATACACATGTGTGTGTGTGTGTGTGTGTGTGTGTGTGTGTGTGTAAACGTATGTGTATGTGTATATGTATGTCTGTGAAATGAACATACTTTCTGGTAACTTAACCTTAACCTAAAGTTAATTTTTCACCTTTATTTCTTATCAATATAACAGCTAGTTCTACCAATTAACTATTTTAGCAAATATTTTCGTAGATGAATTATTATTAGGACATGGGTAAGTTGTGAATGTTAAAAAGAGAAAAAGTGAGAGAAAGAAACAGAAAAAAGGATAGGGGAGAGGGAGACGAGAATCTCGTGTCGTCATAGTGTAGAGGAACTGTCACATACACACGTACATAGACACCTACACATACATGCACACATACATACACACACACATATACATACATACACATACACATACAAACATGCTCATATTTGTGCAATTTTATAACCTCATTATTATTATCACCATAATCGTTATCGTCATCATTATCATCATTATTGTTTCCAGTCATTATCATTGTGTGTCATGATAATGAAGAGGACAGAAGAGATGAATAAAACTTCTGGAAAAGGGCGGATGCTCATCCTTCCCAACATCCATCATTTGACAAAAAAAAAAACGAAAAATTCCGCCGTCCCTATTTGCATTGATGGCCATTGAAACAAACAAGTATTGGTGGACTGCTTGCATTCATTTCTTCACTAAAATGTATACCTGTATGTGTGGGTGTAGCTGTACGTATGTACGTGGGCGTGCGTGTATTATGTGTGTAGATTTGTATGTGTGTGTGTGTGTGTGTGTGTGTGTGTGTGTGTGTGTGTGTATATACATGTATGTATGTATATATGTTAATCCTGTTTGGAGCAAAACTTTTCATGTAATAATGACAGCGAAACTCTTTCTAAACCTTATTTAACCCCTGCTCTCGCTCCCACTCTCCCTCCCCCACTCTCACCCCCGCCTTTTCGTTCTCATGGCTATTCCCTCTCTCCTATCGTCTTATTCTTTGATATACTCATCAATTGTTTGTATTAGTTGAAAATTTATGCATATTTAAAGTAACTTAAAATAAGTCAATTGAAATAATTGAAAAAGGATGAAAGTTTAATCCACAAGTTAGTGCTGGCAATTATTGATTACTTTTGATCGTCCTTTAAATAAACAAACACATTTGATTAATATGTGCTTTCAACATTTTCAAAAAAAAAGTCCAAAGTCCAAATTAATTTTCTCTATTATCATTCTTAATGATGGCTACAATGAATACAAGGTATATCCTAATAGGATAAAACTGACGAATCATTCGAGGAAAAGTTATTCCCTGATTTAAAAAGTTTTTAATTCCAATAAATTCTCTTCCATTTTTGTTTAACGTGCAATTCTGGAAAGGGTCTGTTAATGAGAGAGAGAGAGGGAGGGAGAGAGAGAGGGAGAGGAAGAGAGAGAGATGAGCGGAGGAGTATGAAGGGGGGGGGGGGTTGATTGGTATGTTGTACTGTTGGGGGATTGATATAGGTTATTGTTTTGATGGAGCTGTCGCGGAGGGAAGAGTGTATGTGGCGGTGTTGGAGAGAGGTTTTGTTGTAAAGTTTTCCGTTTGCAAGGGTTTTTATAAAGAAAACAGGGATGAAATAGCTATGTAATTTATGAATTTATCTTTGGTGTAATGTTGAAAAGTGTCCGTTTATTTTGTTTGTTTGCCTCCTCTTCACTTTCATTTAATTTTTGCACTATTGGCTTTCATTTTAGCATTAAGGCGTTATTAACATTAGAATAACTGGGAGGGAGGATGGGAACGGAGGGGGCGATAGACTCTTTTGAGTGTTTCATTTCAGTTTGAAATCATTTTCACAAAACATCGATTTGCTACTTACTTTCCATCTTCTAAAATGTTGGATGACCTTTTGAGAGTAATAAGAAATTGATGATCAATTTCTTATTACTCTCAAAAGGTCATCAAACATTTTACATTTTAGAAGATGGAATGTGTACATACGTCATTGCAAAACTTTCTTTCCTTTTTTTTTCTTTTGAATTAATAAGTGAAATAAAGTATTGAAGTTAGGGTGAGTAATTTCCCGAGAAATGGAAAACTGGAAAGAGTTCTCTTTTATGGTTTATATTATGTTTACTTGTTACCGGAAATTAAAAATTGTTAAATCTTGATTGGGAATGTTTTGTTAAAATTGAATGAGAAGAATACCGGTAAAGGGCGGGAAGGAATGGGGAGGGTGAATAGGAAAGATGAAGAAATGAAGAAGAGGTTAGAGGGAAGAGGGAGAGGCAGAGGGCGAGATAGAGGAGAGGATGAGTCGTTGGAGTGAAATGAAGGAGCTTTTTACGGAATTGAATGCGAACGTTCGCATGGAGCGGAAGTCATCATTCCTTTCGTCACATTATTACCGAAGATAACAGTGTATTCATAGAAACTACTGATTTCGTTTGCTGGCTAATAGAAATAATCCACAAATGAGACAGATCGTTTTTACTATTGTAGTTAGCCTGACCGGATAAATTCAAACTGTAACAGAAGCATAATTCGGCTAACCGGATAAGTTCAAATTGTAACAGAACGATGAATAGAAAAAAAGAAGCACTTAACTTATGGTAAAAGCCTTAACTGATTAATAATTTACGGTGACATTAAAGGTTTGTTTTTTTTTTCTTGAATGGGTAAAGAAAGGAAGGAAGAAATATTGATGATAAATTGTACGATTGGAGTACGGTACGATCAAGGAATAGGTTAAAAGTTGATTTTTGCAAGGATGAAATAAAAATGGTTGACAAAGCAAAGAGAATTTTAACAGGCTTCATAAACGTTCTTCGAGAGAGAGAAAGAGAGAGAGGGAGAAAGAGAAGAGGATATCATATAATAACTAAACATTTTAGAGGGCCTATAATTGCTACATTCAATTTGTGGACATTCCCTTTTTCTGAAAAGAGAACCTATAATTGCTTCATTTTATTTATTGCTTTCTTCTGATTGGAAGCTAACAATTGCGCTCTTATAACCTTCCTACATTAGCTCTATTACTATTCTGTGGCTGTTTAATGATTTTCATGAAAAATGTTTCCATTTCTATCTTATTCCTCTTCTCCTTCTGTTCTTTATAGGCTCTCTTTTACCATCTCTTTTGAAGGCCTTCTCTCATTTTGTTGCTTCTTGTTCTATCCATCTGCTATGGGTCATATATAAGCGCTGGTCGGTTGGTTGGTTATATTGGTCGTCATTATAGATGACCGACCGGATCGATGTGTTGTTGCGTGGACACACGGATCCTGTGATAAATAGTATTGAATGGATATGATGGAGAGATTGTGAGTTAGCTCGTGTAGACTATGGTTGCAAGTGGACGACACTTTATGATGAATCTGATTCTCAATCTTCTATCTGCTTAATGAACTTTCCTACGTATTTTGTAGGCCTACATAGGTTTATTTATAAATAGCACACGTAAAGTGTTATGTACATTAGTCAATGTAGGCAGATAATTAAGCATAATGATGTTATTTCTTTTTTTTATTCTCTTAAAGTCTGAAGTGGAATCAAAAAGGACTATAAGTAATTTGTGTATGAAAAGTACTCCAAATACCATGTTATTTCCATGAGTTGTTGTTAAGTGGAATAAGGCGGAAAGTTTGAAGGAAATCAAATCATACAAACCAGGTATGAAAGGTATTTCTGCCTACTAGCTAATTTACTCATCACAAGTTCTTGGATATTTTGGAATTTACATAACTTATTTTAATTTTATAAATCGTTAGATGAGATTACTGATAAAAATGTGGCAAATAAGATCTTTTGTTTTGTTAGCAGTAGATCCTGATTAAGGTAATGATAGCAACTTGTCGAATTAGTACCATTTGTAGAATCAAGCAGAATAAACAAATGGAAAGCAAATTACTAATATTTTTCTGTTTTCTTTTTTGTTAATTTTACTGTTAGTATTTTGAACTTTTACTTCGCATCTCTTGAAAGTATCGCATTTAACAATGATTATCATTTCTGATTTAAATAACCAATAGCTTATCGGTTATAAAATGAGATTGGAATCCTATATCATTAAATCAGTATAAGCGAAAAATTCGAAAGCGATTCATTACTAGCTACTGCATTCAAATGCTCCCTGTTATCATGACTTTTCCACTCTTCATCAAACATAATTTTTTTAATGAACATAGTAATTTTTGCAGTTCTGATAACATTGATGATATAAAATCTGTACAGTTCTGATAACATTGATGATATAAAATCTGTATCGAAAATTCTTTTGTTCATTTCAGATAAGCTTTGTGATATTTCGGAAGAAGCGGTTGTTTGGGGAGACCAGTATTTTCTGGGTTGGCAATGTGTGCTTCTGTAAACGGGAATGATCATCAACAGTTAGCACGGGAGATCCGCTTGGTGATCCCTCATTATACTGCAACAAACAACCGTTTCCAGTAATGATGTGTTGCAAGCCAACAATAGCTGGAAGGACAGCACAGTGGCTTTGGTGGTCCACTCTGATATTTCTACTTCTTAGGGCTACAAAAGTATGACCATTTCATTTTATCTCACTTAATTTCGTTCCAAGAAAAGAATCTGAATACAAGAAAAAACGAGCAAAATAATATAATAATCTAAATGATAAATAGTTAGCATTGAGGATTTTGTGAATGATGTATTTGATAAGATTCATTAAATATGCGAATTTTTGTAGCAATTTGGCATGAGGACAATGGCAAACAATGAGAAGAGTGATAATTTGGATGCTACAAGTATGTGGTATTCGGGAAATATTAGTGTAACAGGTCTTAAACCACAGCCTAAAACACCCAGCGAATTGAGTGTAGTTTTTTTTTTTTATTATTCCATCTTATTTCTGATGCTATGATATATCACAAAAATCAGATTGTCTTTTGTTGTTTATTCAGGAAAACTCAAAACAAAATATTTCAGAGATACCAGAATGTGAGGACTCGATCAACGATTGTGCATACGGTGGTAAATGCGTTGCTGATTCAAATGGTTATAAATCTTGCCTTTGCCCAGCAAGTTGTCCAGCTTGTGAGTTTTTTATTTTTTATTAAATATCACAATTTGGAAAAGGTTTCGTCTTGTCATCGACTGCTCATTTCTACTTAATCGAATTGCTACCAAAAATTTGGTTGATTCCAGTGTTGGACCGATTAACATATGCACTCGATTGTGTCTATACTGTCCTACCATTTTCCCATGAATTATCAGTTGCCAGTTTCATATGTATATTCTGCATTTCTAGAATAGATATTGGTTCAACTTACAGTGTATTGCAGCAATTCCGGTGTCATGTCGTGCCGGCAGGCAGGATGATTACTGCATGTCGATGAGTGATGACTACAAGGATAGGTATCTACTGCCAGAACCTGCTTGTCATATGGTTTGTTGTATTTTCATTTTATTCATTACGCTCAGAATCATCAGAATCTCAGGATTGTTTAGAATTGCCTTTTTTTCAAACATTTTATTTTTATTTAATTTAACCCATATATGAGATATGGGTATGATATCTGTTATAGGAAAAATATCTTTCTGAATATATCCATAAACGAGAAATCTGTTTCGTGAGCAGCCCAAGTTATTCTGAATGGACCTAGGAGTTTTTAATATTCAATCATGAATCGTTCAATCATATAGATGAATGATTTGCATAGTAAATATTTTTTTTCAAAAATTTAAATAATAGTAATTTGAAAAGCTCATTTCGAAAAGTGTGGAAAAGAAAGTCTTTTATCTAGTTTGGAATTCTTATCTCTTATGAAGGATTCTATAACATTTCTCGTATTCTGTTAAAAATATCAATTTTTTTTCCACACATTTAAGGAGTGTTTTTGCTAATTTAGTGCATTTTGAAATTTCAAAACCAAAATCTGGGGGTTCTAAACTTAACTACTTGAAAACAATTTACTTGAAAGCACCCCCCAATTAGCCATTCTGCTAGTAGTTAGTCTTGAGTTTTAATGGTTGATAAATTGATTAGAGGATTGGGTGTTACATTCCGGAGAGCAAGTTCGAAACCGGAAGTTGTTTTGTAAAAATTACTTTTGTCGTTTGATTTCTTCTAACGTTGTTTTGAAAATGTTTGAAAATGACTTTTTTTACGCTGAATTCGTTGTTTTTATATGAAATAACTAATAAGTGCCGACGAATGCAGTCGAAAACTCTTAATCGTCATCGGAGATTCTAGATTATCATTCTAGCTATTACTTGACTATTGGCTTATAGACATTTGAGTAACCTTCATAGCATAATGAATTATACTTTCAAGTCCTAAACGTGCCAGACTACATCTCATATGTATGACTAATTTATTGTGAAGAAATTTTTGGTAGTTGAAATGTTCTCGACTTTCATGACGTGACCAAAACTGGCTTTGTTCATGTCGATATGATCAGAATGCTATCGAATATCAGAATTCATTTTGATCTGGGAGTTGGGAAGAAATCAAGTGCTATTATTTAATTTTGTTTAGTAAATATCATTGACCGAAAAGAGACATTTCTGCTCGATCGATGGATCGTGTGAAAGGAATGTAAGGCAAACTGTATGCATAAGTGATTATAGAGATTTGAAATACAATTAACTTTTGTCATCTTGGCATCATCTAATTTATCCGTCGGTACATTTCATAGGAAATACCAAAAAATCTGGTTGAAATGAGATTAGGAGGAAAGCATTCATTGTATCCCGATTTTCTCGCCATTCATATCTGAATGGCGAAAAAATATATTCCATTTGTACCAACAATTTTTCGGAATTGGTAATGAATTTGTTTTTGAAATTGTTTACTTTTACTGCTGTAGGAAGATTGATCTTGTATTGCTATCCTTTAATTTATGTTACATTGCAGGGAATTTGTGTTTGTCCTCCAATGTTTGATCCTTGGAGACTAGAAGGAGCTATTGAACTACTTCCCTTCAAATGCGATCGAAGTATGTTTTTCCCTTTCTCTATGAGTAGATAAATTTGAATGTTCTCGACTATGCTTTTTTCTCCCTTGAACTCACATATCGCTGCAGAATATGGAGAGGATAGAGGAGGATAAGTTCTGCAAGTATTGGAACTAGTGAAAATGAAAAATAGCGCAATGGCACTCACTTAATCACTTAGTTCGAGCTGCTCTTGAATTGCTATCATTAAGAATACATCTAATATATCCTCCATATTTTTTAAAATATATCTCTGTGGAAATTTCGTAAAATTATTTCTGATCAGTTATTCATTTATAAATTTTGGAAATAAATGATTACAGGAGAACTGTTAGTACAGGGACGTGCGCTTCCATCAGATTCTGTCTACCAGGGTACAGACGCCAGTTTATTTTGTTGCATCAATATGGATCCGAGATCATTTATTGATGATGATGGGGTTTATTCTCAATATCTTTTTCCGCTGTCAAGTTTAAAAATATTGCAAAATCTTGTTGCCGTAGTTTTGTTTAAAAAATTAACATTGCACTGTGGCGTAAGGAACAAATAGTTAATAATGTTTAAAAAAAAATTTTTAAGAATTAATAAAGATTAACAAATTGTTTAAAAAATTAACATTGCCCTATGGTGTAAGGAATAAACAGTCAATAGTCTTTATGCGAAGGTTCCCCGGAATTATCATTTTAGATTCAAATAATTAGTAGCGTATTAACTTCGGTTTTCCTGGGTTGTCTTCTGTAGATGATGATTCATTTGAACCGCTTCCATATATTAGTCAAATGGATATTGCGAGTAGATGAATAATATTGACCGGGAAATGTGATTTTCAAAAATTTGCGAGAATTGTTCGTTAATCTGGCGATCTTTGATTTTTTTTGTCACCAAATGAAAGAAAAAAATTGGATTTTTAGGTGGACTTTATACAGAATTCATCAATCATACGTGAACCAACCAATACACCATACGATGAAGTTTTCACCGACGGCATTGAACCACCACGTTGCTGGTCACTGGAAATAAAGAATGCACAGTACAGTGATAGCGGGACATATCTTTGTCATGTGAAAACAACCGGTAAACATGAAATCAACACCAATCATACGATCAATTTCTTTGTGAAAGGTAATTCCTCGTTCTGTTACCCGTTGATTTTATGACTTTCTGTGGTGACATTTTTAAGTTTATGTAATGGCATCCATTTAAAAGGAAAAATTCTGACAACAGATCATTTTCTTAATAAAATTCAAATGCAACAAAGCATTAAAATGACCAACAGTTCCATTGGGATAGGTGTTCAAGCATGGCATTTTTACAATTTTCCTTCCATTTTAACTTATGACATTTGGTATTGATTACTCCTTTTCACACAGTTTGAGAACTGCTCTAGATTTTAAGTGTGAGACCAGTATTATCAAGAATGAGAGAAGATCGGAAGAAGTAGAATCTTGGCAGAATCTTAGTTTTAACGAGAAATATTTTTCTCTTCAAATGCTGATGTAGTTGTATAGCAGTAAAAACATTAATTATTTTAAAAGCTGATAAATCCTCTTTTTGATAGGGATTGTCGATCATCAGCTTTTTGCACTATAAATGCTATAATTTTTTGAATTGGTTATGTATTAACTGCGGTGATATCATTAAATCGATGCTAGAAGAACGAGTTTAAATTTTCCTTGACTTAGAAGTTATGTCATTTCAAATAATGTAGATATGGAAAAAGGAAAATGCGAAAGAGGGAACCAGTTGTCTTTTTTAGGGAGGAAAATATAATAGTAAGTTGATTGAGTTTTTTCTTTTTCCACCATCTTTCAAATCTTAAAAAATTTTTCCCCTTTTCATTTAGAATTCGGAAAAAAAGTATCTACCATAACGTTTCAAAGAGGAATTTTTTGAATTCCGAAAATAGTTCAGAAGAAATTATCTGTTAAATATCCTAGATCAAGGTAGTCTTACCACTCGCGAATATTCATCCTCCAAACTGAAATTCCTCAACCTGCTTGCTGAACGACGAAAAACCAAGAAAATTGAGGAGAAAAGTGAGTTAGTAGGAGGTTTAGCATGTAATGTTACTTTATGATCTGCTAGTTGTACTTTTCTAATGCATGCTTATTGGTTTGTGAATTCCAGTGAAGAGCTTCAAATTCTTGAGAATTTCTTAGTTTGTGACAACCTTGTAATAATGGTCTTTTTTCTTTTTTAGTGGAAACATTATTTACTTAGCAGCCAGTGCTTTTTGATTCTACATAGGTGATGCTTAGGAACACTTAAGTAATAAAAGCAGTTCTGTAAGAGTTTTAGATGAAGTAGTTTGCAGTGGAAGAAATAGGAAATTTATTATATCCTTTTTACAGTACCTAATGATTTAAAGGTCTTTTTTTTCACCACACTGTTTACACTGTTTAAGTTTTTGATTTTCTCTAAACAACCTCAGCTAAATGTGAGACGTATGATCTCTTTGATCCTTGTTATTCTTGAATTTCGTTGAAACCTTTCTGTAACTTTTCTGTAACCATACAAGCCCAACAAAGATGGGTAAGGTAAATTGTTCGAGCAATTAATCAGAAGGTAGTGGGATGCGCTGATTCATATTTTTTTAAAACATTTCTTTCATTTAACGTAACCTTTGGAAGGAACTCTTAATGGGCTTATTTATCGGAATCCACCATTACAAGGCTCTTATACGAAATTTTATGCTTGAAATGTAGTATTAAAAGTATTAACTAGCATTAATATGCTATTGTTTCAAGGATTTATATCAGAGTTTACGATTGGAATGTTGGAATTATTCAGAATGTTGGTGCTAGCAAGTTCCTGACATTTTTTTTTAACCTTCTGAAATGTGCATGTCGTCATTTGCATGATGTTTGTTACGTTGCATGTATGCAAGCTCACGTCGACTTGAAGCCATTCAATAACTAATTTCATTGTATACGTATTTATAGCACCACGAATTATCCAAAATGTAACCGTGAAAACAAATGCAACTCATGCGGAAATTCGATGGGATGCTGAGGATGATGGGCCAATGCTGAAGATTGATTTCAAGTAGATCTTTTTATTATATATCAGTCGTTGAGTTTTTCATAGAATTCGATATAAGCATGTACTTTACCGGATTAGAGAGTGACGATAAAGTGACATGTCAAAGTTTAACAAGATGTACTCTTAGATCAACTGAAACCGAGAAGATATTTCCGTATGTTTTGCAATAACTAAAAGGACAACTAGCTAGATTGATTTATTGAAGCTATTGGATGGCTGAAATTGAAACAAGCTTGCATTACTTTTTTTTACTAACATTGCAGATTAATGCGGCGAACAGATGGAGTGGAAGTATGGTCGGATACTAATGCAAAATCTGGCGTGGTCATTGGGGAATTGTTACCGGCAACGCCGTACACATTATTCATATCAGTTTTCGATGGTCAAAATGAACCATTCAAAATAACCGAACATTTCACGACATCTGAAAGCGGTAATTTTGCTGTAGTATGTAGATCTGCGGCTACTTAGGCAATAAATGCGTCTGTGTAATTGACACTTGCATCAGTGAGGGTGAATGAAGCGAGAAACTTGATAGATTAAAAAAGGGTGATTTTTTGGTTGGAAAATTGCGACTGTGAACTGTTCATACCAGTTTCAAAAGTCAAAACTGCATTATTTGTTGGAGTTTGAGGAAAGGGAATTATTCCTGCAGTGCTTTTTCTTTAGCTAGTAATTTCGATCTTGACTTAAATTACGAAGATGGGTAGGAAAAAAAGAATGGTAGACATACCATTTAAAGTTGCATCAGTTCGATTTGCTTAAATTTGATAAATTTCGACAACATTTTTCTATGTATTTTAGCTCCGGAACCACCAACACTGGGTGAAATACGTCTTCTCAATCTTCAGGGCGGTTTGTATTGTGAAGTTGAATGGATGCCACCGAAAACACCTAATGGACGTATCACTAAATATTACGTATGTCTACGTCAGTTTCTATATATGAATAATTTTTCCTATAGGATATCATGACTTCAAACAGTGGAAGTTTTGAAAATTTTTCGAAATACCAAAGTTTAACAGGTAACAGTGCGAGGACAAATACGACATGTTTCACCTGGCGGAATTTTATCAAATGATGATTTCCCAGCAGAGGAGAAGAATCAGTGCGCTAATTACAATAATAATGATAGTAGTTACACGAGTGCGGATGCTATTGCAGACTTTTATTCATGTCGTTTTGGGCCGTTGAAGGTATTCGATTTTTAATGTGTATAATCTAGGAACAAAAATTTTAAACCAACAAATGAATTACATTAAAAAAATTTATTTACACTAATGATTTTCTTTTTTATTGGTCAATATATTTTTTTTCCAAGAAAATTACACAGTGTGTTTCTTCAGGTGTTGTTTTATTTCTAATTATTGACCTCTTGGTAGGATTTTTGAATATTATTCAATATTATTAAGCTATTTGCACGATTGTTGATTTCCTCATAGGATTACTGGGCTCACTTTACTGTTACTAAGAATTTCCGAAATGTCTGCAATTAATGGTCTGAAATTTCTCGGGATCTAATTTTCTGCAATCACTGTTCTTTCCAGAACACTCAAATTTTCCTAAAATTACTAGCTTGTAGCCGAATCGGAATTATACGGCATTCGTGTGGGCTGAGAATGGTGCTGGTCGAAGTGAAAATGCAACATTTTCTGAGCAGTGTATAACGGACTTTGCACAACCAGATGCCGTCGATGCTCCAGCTTCGATGTCACAAAACGGAACAGTATTCGGTTTGACGTTCAATAGTGAACCGGATGAAGTGAACGGACCTGTGGCGTAAGTGATATTTGTAGTTGTAAGTGTTGATGGAATTTTAAAGATCTCAGTTTGCTGCCACCTCTCTCATAGAAATGAAATATTGATGGATGGAATCTGACTTTTATTTGTAAACTTTTATGTTCGAAGTAGAGAGAAATTCGGAAAATTCAAAAATAATCTTAAAAAGTAGGTAAGCAATTATGGTATATGCGTTTCTTTTATACTTTAACATAAATTATTTCACTTTTTTTATTCTTAGGATGATTCTTGTTCATGCAAAAAGAAGTCATGGGAGTCGTCAAACTAGTATCAATGCTAATTTTTACCTAGCAGTGTGTTTTAAGAGTCCGAATAACTTTTCCATTTTCGTTTTGTAGGTGTTACTACGTTGCAATTGTTCCACTTGCACCGGACGTTGTTATTGAGAGTTTACCGGCACCCGATTCACTTATTGTTGACACATTCCTTAAAACGATGAGCAATAATTTGCAAAATGAGCACCTCAAACAAGTAATTTATCTACTTTTTTCCCTAATGTAATACAACTCTGTACTGTTTTTTTTTTTTTTTTTGTAGCCGTCACTTTTTTTTTTGTCTTCAATATAGTTTTTTTCAAATCACTGCCAACATAATCGTAGGGCACGTAAATTTGTACTTCTAGAGATTGCAGTACTAACATTTATACTTCTCCATTTTTATTCATTAATTAAGCTGTTGGCAGTCTGATCTTCCGATCTCTTCTCTTTCAATAGAAATGTTGCAGATTCGGAAATATTTTACCATTGTTCTGTTAATCCTTACTGAAGTTATTCCACTTCGCCTGATATATATGTGAACAATATATGGAAGAAATAGACTGAGAATAGCTTTTGGAAATTTTCAGGATACGAAACAGAAGCGTTACTTTGCATATATCGCGGAAAGTTATATGCAGTATCCGAAGAGAACATTTATTGGTGATGGTAATACTACAGCTGGTGTACAACCCTGCAATGTTTTGTATGTTATATAATAGAAATTGAAATTATGTTAATATTTGTCTACTAAATATGTTTTCTGCATAGCCAAATATAGGTACTTGAGTCGTCATCGACCGGAGGATCCAGCCTTGAAACCTGGTTTAAAGTATACTGGTTTCTTGATTGCACGCGTTGATCGTGATCATGCTGCGCGTAGTGAATCGTTCCGACACAATGATCCTTTTTTCATGAAGAGGAAGCGGTAAATTTACCTACGATTCGTAAAGTTTTTTTTCTTTTTTTCACGCTTCACATGAAGCACGTCAGTATCTCTTCCTTCATGTTTCTTATTAAGCTTAAATTCTTTATCTTTGGATGATATGTAAAATTTGGTATATGCATCAAACGATGTCTTTATTTTTAATATTGATCAGCAATTTTTTTAGGAGGCGATTGCACCAGAACATAGAGAAACGATTTTTAGATCGAAGCCGTTGGTTTAGTTATCGTGAAAATTCGGAACTTCCACGTCATTTTCGATCATCACGGCAGTTAATTGTTAGTGGTCCAGCGTATGGCTTCAGCGGATATTTTAAACCCGTAATTTTAGAAGCTTTTGATGGTATGTTTTGGATGTGTTTTTTGGGAGTATTCATTAGAGAAATAAAAGATGATTATTAGTCCCTCAACTTAGTTTTATGTGTTTGTTGGTTGAATTTGAGCTTTCGTTACTTTCACCCAAAATTAGCGGCTTAAAACTAAAAGCCGCTAATTTTTAGAATTAATCAAATGTTTGCACATAAATTACTTTTGGCAATTACAACAGCAGCATCGTATTTTGATTCTATAATAAGATGGAAAGTAGAAAGTCCATTTGTGTTCGACTTTTGCCGAAGCCACGGCATTAGTCATTCAAATTAATTCTTCTAGACTTGATTGATTGGAAGGAATGATTTTTTTTTCTCTGAAACTAGAGTTAGCAATTTATCTTATTAATGGACGATTAATGAAATAATTTATTGCAGAGCAGTGGGCCCAATCGTGGATGACAGTACTGTTTAGTGTGCTTTCTTTGATTTTGTTCATCATGCTAGTCTCCTCATTTGTTACCTATATTTTGCACAGGTATCTTCTCTACCTAAGCATGAAATACCTTGAAACATTTCTAAATGTGACATATGTTGAAACGGTGTGTGCAGTTTATAAGTCAGTTTTCTGCAGTTCCTATTTCTGTGTAACTAATTTTTATTGCTTTAGTGCAAATGTTAAAAAATCTTTAGTGCACATGTTAAAAAATGGATTTTCTCGCTTGCGATTAGGATTTGTTAATGATATCTTTAAATTTGTAACAAGCAACATTTACTGCACTTTTATAAATTTATGATATTAGGATGCGTTCATGCAACCGTAAATTAAGTATACCTAATAACTTGGTAGAAATGTGTTATCGTGGATTCCTTATTATATTTTTCGCTCTGTTGTACTTTAAGGCGTGGAATGATAAAACAGCTGTGTCCGATGAGTAAGGATCGTATGCTTCTAAAGCCTCATTTTCATGCGACACTTATTGATGATCTACCCGAAGAATATAGCCTACGACGTCGTGATAGCAATTACCTATGCATTTCTGAGTTTGATGTACTTGTGATTTCTATTGTCTTTTTATAAAAATTCGTACTTTTCGTCCTATGCTTTTTTATAAAAGTATCAAAAGGATCCAACCTAAGATGTTACACTCGTCACTTGTTCTAATATCAGTTATCTTTCTCCATTCTTGAAAGTAATAGCAACCATTATCTTCACTCTTCTATTTCTTCCTGTCTTTGCACTTTACCTTCTGTCATCATTATTCAGCATGTATGTTCCTTTTCTAGGCTTTACCAAATTATCGTTCGATGGAGTCAAGTGCTTCGGAACGCTTGGAGAATGCTCATAAAAATCGTTACAATGATATAAAAGCATTCGATGCTACACGTGTCAAATTACCAATTATTGGAAATGATCCATCAACCGATTACATCAACGCTAATTACGTTAAGGTTACCATTTATTATGCGAATCATTTTTTATCTTTTTTCTTTTTTGAATTATTTCTTTACGTTATTAATTTCATTTCCAGTTTGATTTTACATTTTTGCTAACTTTATAACTGCATGGTTAGTTAACTTTTTCATGATGACTTGACTCCTTCCGGCATATAGATCGTCGTGGAGAAGTAAATTCGGAGTATAATAGCCAGTGTTGCATTCATCAAACGTATTTGTGTGTCGAAACTATTATACCAATAACCGTTTGATGAATGACAGTGAGATTTGCGTTTCTGCTAAGTCTTATTTATACGAACTTACTAACAAACATTCTTTTTTGCTCTCTTATTGCTGAATAAGTATCGAGTAGTAAAGAGTCACTATGTAAAGCAGAAGTAGCACTTATAGATCTGTAAGTCTTTCTTTTATCATTGCCAATTTAGAACAGCAGAAGTGACGAAGTATTGGAACTTTTCCATTTATTTAGAAATGGCGTATTTCTCTTCATATGTGAACCAATATGTTAAGCTTTGTTTTCATCTTTTTTCAGGGATACAAAGGTCGCAAAATGTTTATTGCATCACAGGGTCCGTTAGATGCTAGTACGGATGATTTTTGGCGTATGATTTGGGAGCATAAAGTGCGGGTCATTGTCATGGTTGCCAATCTCTATGAGAGAAACCGGGTTTGTGGTCCCATTCTTTTAAATTTTAATTTTTCTAATGTTTTTTCATGACTTCTGATCTGTAGCACCTCAAGATTCTAAGTCATATCCAAGCAGACTTCTTGCTATATATCAGTTTATGGAATGAAGTCATTAAGCTGTCGATCATTTCTCTTTGGTAGTGCAGCTTGCACATTCTCTCCTCTTTTCGTATCTTCTTTCCCCTCTTCTCTCACTTTGCGTTTTGCACCAAAACATTTTGTCAATGCTATTTGACACTATTACTTAATGAAAACTAATAAATGGAAACGAACTAATAGTTTTGTTGTTTAAGTGCCAGTGTGCGAAGTACTGGCCGGATGATGGACCAAAGACATATGATAAGTTGGAAGTTCGTCCAGTTGATTCGATTTACTATTCTGATTACGCCATACGCAATTTCGAAATACGTCGAATTCAATCAACAGTAGCAAATGGTTCTCTCTCTGGAAGTCCTGCAATCATTTCTTATGAAGTTCCAAGTAAAGCTGGCGATACAGTTGCCGACCCTACTGCAGTTATTGTAAATACGAAGTAGCTATTTTCACCGCTTATACTAGGTTAAAGATAATCCTATATAAACACCAAATGAAGTATCATAGTTTGCTTACAGATTGTTTTTCTCATAATTTCTTTTGAAAGTACATCTGTTGCAATGAGGGTGTTTGAGATAATGAAGTAAAAACACTTTTTTGTTTATTATTGAACGCAATTTTCAGGTCCCGTTCATCATCGATTCGCGGTTCGATTGATTCCATTCTTAACGAAATATCTTCGAATTCCAAAAGAAATTCGCGGTGTAGCAATAGCAATGCGCAATTGAATGACATTCATATAGAAACGGAATTTGTTACTAAAACATCAGGTAGTTTAAGCTGATTCCTCATGATATAGATCATGAAGTTCTTTTTTGCAAAACATTTACGAATCATGCTCTCTTTCTATACAAAATATTTTTACTAATTCTCAGTTCTTTACAACAGATATAACTGATCATATGTGGGCTTTTTGCGAAATTTTCCATTTCGGATTTTGTCGGAGGGAAAAAGAGATACAAAAAATGTTATTTGCAGAAGTGCGTCATGTTGTACAATATCACTATACCTCGTGGAACGACTTACAAGCACCGGAATGTACTACTGGTTTGCTACGCTTTTTATCGAAATTGCGCAAACTAGACGATTATATCCGTGGTCCTGTTGTTGTTCACTGCAGGTATATGAAATTGAAGGCATTTACCTTTGTATGGTTTTATAACAGTCGTATCATGGTTTGTATTAATAACTATCACTTTATTTATATTTGTTCTGTTAGATATTTGAATCACATAACGTCCTTTTTTTTTCCTTTGCATACTACTGAATCAGTAAGAGTGAACAGCGAGCAGGTATAACGAAAGAACCTGAAGATTAATTTTTCTAATTTGGCTGCTAATAACGAACGGAACTAAATGTATCGTTGTAGTGCTGGTGTGGGTCGTACAGGTACTTTCATTGCAATCGATAGTTTGTTGGACCAATGTATGGAGGAGGGTAAAGCAGATGTGTTTGGTTTTGTGTCAGAAATGAGAAAACAGCGAAATACTATGGTTCAGAATGCTGTAAGTTTCCACTTTTTTGTTATTGCACTGTAGCATTTTCCAAGTCTGTCTAACAAATTTATGGATATATTTCCTTACTTTCTATTATTTTGTTAATTTGCCGATACATTTTTCATTTTTTAATTTAGTCCTATATTTCTTTGTGCATTTTTAAATATAGATATTAAGCTTGAGATTACTTGCAAGTGATAAAACTTTGCTGAAAATCTTCACCAAACTGGGTCCACTTAAATATTGCACATGGATGAAAGTGTATTTCAGGAACAATATCTTTTTATTTACAAAGCATTGGCTGAATGGTATATGTTTGGTGAAACTGATATCGAAGTAAGTCAATTTCGTGAACATTATCGTACACTGAATGAGCCACAGCTTCGCGAACATCAAACGCCAGCTAACCGATCAACATTTACTGCTGTTGTAAAGCGAACAGCTCCAAAGGTGCAACAAGTTAACAGCGATACCTCAACTTCCGAGAAAGTACTAACTGTTATGGAAGTTGAATACAAGGTATACTTCAGGTTTCTAGGTTGATGACATTCAGCACGCTACAAATAATCAGCATTGTTGACCACCGACATGATATCCTTTGTGGATCTGAATTTGATGGTCAATCAGTAAGTTTATAGATAATAATATAATGCAAGTTGCCGTTGTTCTTTTATAAATATAGGATTGGGAAAGAAGATTAGGAACTATAATGTCAGGAGATTTGTAGAAATCATTGTTTGGTGATCCGTTTAACAAGTTAGTTATGGATTCCATTTTTAATTTATTCAGCGGTTGGAGCGCACGCTTGAACCACGACGAACATGTAATTTTGCACATAAGCCGGAGAATTTGAGGAAGAACCGTGTCGAGAATGCTGTTCCATTTGATCATTGTCGTATCGTTTTACCAGTTGTTATTGGAAGTGTTAATGATTCAACTTACATCAATGCTTCTCTGGTTAAGGTGCTGTATTTTGGTCATTTTTTAAAACCATTTCAACTAATAAGTGTTAAAAGTATGAGTTACTGCTTGAAGTTGGAGGCTGGAAAAATTTTGAGTAAAATTCATAGGTTTTTCCATATTTTTTATACCTTTATCGCTGTAATAAAGGAGATGTAGTTGTTGTACATTGTTGCAACCGCTTATTGTTAATTTCAGGGTTACTTTTACCCTTACATCCTGGCTCAAGATCCATTGGATGAACAGACATGCTATGATTTTTGGTGTATGATTGGTGAGCAAAATTCACGGGCCATCGTAATGTTGTCATCTGAATCTGAATTTACGCCGGCTGAAAAAGTAAATTGTTCATGTAGATTTATTTACTTTAATAGAAATAAATCTCTTAAAAATGTAGCGGAAGAAAGAAAAAAATCCTAGCAAATTTTTCATTGGAGCTCTTTCTCATGTGCTCTGAATTTCAGTACTGGCCGAGTGAAGTGGGACGCATAAAAACGTTAGGACATGATGGTGAAGTCTCAATCAAATTAATTGGAGAAGAGCTCTTTCCAACATTTGCCCTTAGGAAGTTTACTTATAAGTTTGCAAAAGTTCGCATTTTTTTTCTTAGACCTTCAAATAAATATGAAAATAATGTTGTCATATAAGTTGTGTGATATTTGTACTTAATTCCGCAAAATAATTACGGTTAATCATTATAGTCTGAAGGAAAAAATTATATCTTTCAATAGTACTGGTCCTAGCAACTTTTTTATATGTTTCTTTAGTAAGGGAGTGATTGCAATACCGTGGGTCAATGGCTTCAATATCTGGATTTTTTAAAGTTTCGCCTTGGAGAAATTTGCGGTGTTTTCGATACTAAGAAATCTGTATTTTTAAAATTTTTTGGAATTGTCTTGATTGAAAGCCCTTTTTTAAAAATAATTTGCACCAGGAAAGAATCCTTTCAGGAGAAGACATATCGCGAGGTAATGCATTATGCTTACCTGTGTTGGCCGGCAGACAAAATACTGCCAGAATCGACTGAATCAATAATTGATTTAATAAGTCGAGTGCTTTCCTTACAGAGTGACCATCAAGAAGCAGGTCCCATTATTCTACATTCAAGGTTCCCTATCTTTGTCTTTTCATGAAGTTACTTGGTGATGATTCATACCCCATTTTCTTGTGTAGGGATTTCTTATTCATCAGCAGTTCGATAGATTAAGGAGATAATTGTTCTTTCCGTCCTTTCATTCATCATAGCTTGAACTTCACTTTCAGTGATAACATACCTGCAAGGTAAACAATCCTAAACGCTATTAACTATGCCAACTATTAACCCTTTTCGTTTAGGTATCCATTAATTAGATTGTCGGTGACTTCGTAGTGTCTTGCCCGGAATAAATTATCTTAATGTTTGAAAATTGTCTCAGTCATTTCAGAGACGGATCGTTCAAAACGGGTCTTTATTGTTGTGTGTCGTTGTTGCTTGAAAGGCTTAAAGCGGAAAATCGTATCGATGTATTTCAAACTGTTCGAAGTTTACAGCAAAAGAGACCACTTATGTTCAGAAACTTTGTACGTTTTTAACTCACTGTAAATTCTGCCTGTTTTTCCAAAAACAAATTTGAGAACTTACTACTGCGGTGAACTTATTTCACTCTACACATCTGCCTTTGAAGCAGTATTTTCCAGAAATCTACGAATGATTGAAATGATAAGTTTGTGTTTCTTTTAGGTCTTGTTAACGGTAAAAGTACCATTATGTCTTTCAAATATCCACATTCATTGTAATTTCTTGAAACTGATTACAGCTCCCTTTAAAAGGGTAAAAGGGAAGTCAAGGTTAAAAGATACAAATAATTAATCTGGTACTTCATTGTTTTAGGAGCACTATGCTTTCTGTTATAAAGCTGTGATCGATTATCTGGATACATTTAGCAACAAAAGTACGATTGATTGAATGAAATTGCACTTCAAAAGAACAAGAGTGATATGGTTTACACTGAAGCGCAGATTTCAAAAAAAAGAGGAAGAAGAGTTCAGAGTGAGTTGTATCATAAGAAGAGCCTAAATTAAGAACTGAACTCTAGTATCAAATTGGAATATAGTATGACTGAAAGAAAAAACAGGGCTAGAACGGGAAATGGTCAAGTGACTCAAAGTGGATATTTCCGCTGTGGTTCGTTTCGATTCGGAAATACTACTAAATCGGCATTTTTTATTTTCCAACATCGCATTTCCCTCATTTTAACCATCATTTGCACTTTATTTTGCTTCATCAGTTCCTCGATATAATTCCTCGGTTATCAAAATTGGTCGTTGAATGACTTCCTTAGAAATGCATTTGCCTCCGAAGAAATTTATTTAATAACGACGAGTTCCATCGTTTTCTTTGTCAAAACCCTACGAAATGAGATGATTCATAGAAATTGAATGAAGCTTTTGTCCTTCCTCATCTCATTGTTCAAGATTTCTTGTTTGCCTTGCCGAGCATTCATTTCAGATAATTTCCAGTTTATTTAACAACATTATTCCCTCATTCAGTCTAAATTAATTTTTTTTTCGATGCAGTTCAGAAAACTCTTATCTTTTTTATAAATAGCGAAAATGGTTTTCATTGCTTTCCAATGTTATTTTCTCTTTAGATGTGTTCAGAAATGAATCTGTTCAGGAAATATTCCAGTAGCATAATTCCGCTTCCTTTCTTTCTTTGTAAATACAAATTTATACATGTTACTTGACGTATAGTCAATTCGTATATTTCGATTATTTGATTATTATTACTTACTACGTTGTTATTATAATTGCCAGTAATTTAATGTTGTAAAGTTTGCCAGAATATTTTAAGTGAGAGTTTATTTGTCATATCGAAGAGCAGATAACAACGGATCGTCAATTTCTAAAATTTGTTAATGATAAATTAAGGAGAAAGAGAAAGGGAGAGAAAACGACCACCAAAACCTGTCATTTATTCGATCGAGAGTATCTTGATACAATTGTTGCATACTAAAATTGTGTTTTACTTTGCTAACTGTCAAGATAATTATCAAGCTATCCTTTTGAGGTTTACTTCCGTCAAATTATTCAATCCAGTTTGATCGATTTGGGCACTGAGCAATAATTCTGAATGTTTTACTTATCGAGACTAAACAAAAAATTTGTTCACGAAAGTTTTGTGTATCATTTTTCGTAAGCAATTTATGTAAACTTAGGGATGTTGTTCTAGTGTTATCTCTTGACTATGTAGGTATGTGTACGTGTATGTGCATATATATATATATTGTGTGTGTGTGTGTGTGTGTGTGTGTGTGTGTGTGTGTGTGTGTGTGTGTGTGTGTGTGTGTGTGTGTGTGTGTGTGTGTGTGTGTGTGTGTGTGTGTGTG